AATCGATGCTAATGCTGTCAAAGGTCTATGCTCAACTCAGAAGCCATCTTCTCGTGTCATTTAAGTGACATTTTAATTCAATTGTGTCTTGTTTAAAAAAAAAAAAAGTGTAATCTCTAGTGGGCAGCAGCTTCCAATTAGAAAGTGAAGATTAATAGTAAGCTAGAAAATGTAATAAACAACACAAAACCCCATTTCAAAGACCCTAGGGAAGTCTGGCAAGGGGGTCTCAAATTTGTTGGGGTCCCCTTATTGGCTGGAGCTGTCTGCTGGAAAAGTAACAGCACAACCTGGCCTGATGCCCTGGTGTTCAGATTGTGTTTTCTAAGGTAAAAGAAGGCTACAGAGAAGTGGGGTGGAAGTGTGATGGAGTGGGCTCCTCTCATAGAATGGTTGGGGACGGGACTGTCCTGGGTGTATGAATTGAAGGAGGCATAGAATTGAGATCAGACGAAGGGAAGAGAGAAGTGCAGGCTGGGCACCCCCCAACCTCACACACAAAATGGAGAAGTGGGGCAGGGGCTTTGCATCCAGAAAAAATGGAGAGCCAAAGTTGGCTAGCAGAGTCAGAGCAAAGAAAATCATATATCTGTTTTTTTAAATCATAGTAAGATTTGAAAATTCAACTAATTAAGGTTCTTGCCTTTAGACCTTGTTGGCTTTAATTTTTCTCACTAAAATAACAGTTTATCCACATTCCTGACAAAGCTAGTGACTGAGTTCCTTTATCTCCCTTTGTTCACCGAGTTCTCCTAATGAATTAAGTTCTTCCGTTTACTGACTTACTTGAGCCAATGTTGCCCTAAGTGTAGAATGCATAACATATGATTTTCAGAGGTACAAAGCTAGTGACTGAGTTCCTTTATCTCCCTTTGTTCACCGAGTTCTCCTAATGAATTAAGTTCTTCCATTTACTGACTTACTTGAGCCAATGTTGCCCTAAGTGTAGGACGCATAACACATGATTTTCGGAGGTACATAGACAGACGTTCTTTTCATTTGAATTGCACTATCTTTTAATGGTATCAGCATAGTACAACTAGGTTGTCAAACCTATGTGATTTGAAGTTTCCTCTTAATTGTATTTTAAGTTCAAATGTGAGTAAATTTAAAGAAAATTATTAAGCAAATCTTATGACTAATGGAAATGACCCAAAATAAAAGCCCCAAAAGAGATGTGATTAATTGAAGTTTAAGAAACCCTGATCTGGTGCCTTCCATTGTCCTTTGAGATGAAAAGATAGCAGGCATCAAGAGAAAGCATATTTTTCAGTGTAGCCCAGATCCAGAATATCTTTGCACAGTGACTTCTTTTTAGCCAACACATATTGGATAAAGAAGGATCACTGCAAACCCAGATCCTTTATCTTCTCAGAAGCCTACTTTCTTTTGATGCTCTCTTTCCTCAGGAGCTTCTGTCAAGTTCTTACTTGCAGGGCTCCCCGGTTGCACCAAACTGACAGGTCTACATAGACCCACCATCACAGGTCCACCATAGCTTTTAACCCTCCCCCTGGAAAAAACCTAGGACTGCCACTTAACTTCATAAAACAGAACCAGAGTAAGGACAAAACAGCAAGGAATGACCTTGTACCACAATGCAAATATGTGCTACTGACCATGACAATGACAGGAGCTTAGAAAGGGTAGTCAGGAACAACTTCATGCCAGTGGGCCACTGGACGGACTTAGATTTATATATAGTTATATGATATTCATATATCATCATCATATCAACTACCACTTTTTGAGAGCCTACTATATATTGGGCCACTGGACTAGGCACTTTATTCATGAATGTCATTCTACTTGGTTCTCACATGATTATACAAAAATTAAGTACTACTACTTGCATTTTCATAGATCAGGAGAGGTTCCCCAAGATCATACAGCTTAGCAAAGTTAAAATTGATGTCATCTGTCAATTCCAAACCCTGTGCCCTGAAAACACTCTGCTCTTCTAGGGACTTCAGTTGGACTGGGGCACCTATGGAGGTTTTTCCTGCCTGTCTCTTCCACACAGGCTCCTAATGAGCTTCTTTCCAAGCTGCCTACAAAGTCAGAATCAACAGTTAAGCTATTTCCCTTCCAACTGCCACCCCCACCACAATCCTTCACCAAGGCAGAACTCCTATCCCCCAACAAAAAACCAGTTACCCAAAGAGGCATTCATCCAGGCAAGGCCCATCCCCCACATTATACCCCTCAGGCTAGAGGGTCCCTAAACTCAGAAAGGTTCAGACAATGATCAAAGCATCACCCTTTCCTTCAAGAAAGAGGAGTCCACAAAATCCTGGGCTCATTAGCATGTTTCTAAAATGCCAAGAGACAGCTTTCCCACTCTCATCTTTGGCATTTGTTCCCTCTCACTCAGGAGGAGCATCTCCCAGAACAGAGCCTTGACCTGCTGTACTTTCTGCCTGGAACCATTTTCTCTCATGAACTCACCCTAGCTTCCTCCCTCACCTTCTCCAAGTCTTACTCAAACATCACATCTAGTGAGGCCTTCCTCAACCATCCCCTGTCTTCTGCAGTCCTTGCTTAATTTTACCTGGCTTTATTTTTGTTAATTTTATTTAATTTTTGGCAGCACTGGGTCTTCATTGCTGCTTGCAGGCTTTCTTTAGTTGTGGCACTTGGGGATACTCTCTAGTTGTGGTGTGTAGGCTCCTCATTGCAACCACTTCTCATTGCAGAGCATGGGCTCTACACACCCGGGCCCAGTAGTTGTGGTACACAGGCTTATCTTCCTGGACCAGGGATTGTACCCACGTCCCCCACATTTTCAAGCGGATTCTTAATCACTGGACCACCAGGGAAGTCCACCTTGCTTTTTTTTTTTCTAAGTGACATTATTCATGTTTTACAGGAGACCTTAACTGTCTGTATTAGAGACTCTATGATAGCTATTATTTCAGGTAAATGTTCCATGGGGTCACAAAGTCAGACACAACTGAGCGACTGAACACATACATGCATAGCTTCACAGGGCTGTCCTAACAAAGGACCACAACCTGAGAGGCTTAAGCCAGAAGCTCACCCTCTTGCAGTCTGGAGTCCACCTTGCTTTATTTCGTATAGCCTTCATCTCCACCTGAAACTTTGAATGCTTATTTATCAGCTATCTCCCTTGTTCCATGAGGACAAGGGCTACATTGAAAGCGGTAAATAAATATTTGTTGAATGAATGAATGGACAAATGAATGAATGGATGAGAGGACAAGTCAGCAGCGGTATAAGGCAAAAGGAAACAGAAATGTAAGCAAGCTAGGCACTTCCAGAGCCAAGCCCGGTCCCAGCTCGCAACCTGTGACAAGTTGCTGGCACTATATGCAGGGCACACTTCTAGGTGCCGGGGAATCAGCATGAACAAAACAGACAGAAACCCATGACTTGTTGGAGCTTACAGTGTACTGTAAAAGACAGATGATAAACTCACCAAATAAAATATATAATATTTTAGGTGGTGATAAGCCCTGTGAAGGAAAATAAACCACAGAAGAGAAATAAAGAGTATCAATAGAAGGGGACAGTGTGCAGTTTTTAACAAAGTTACAAAAGGCCTCATTGGAAAATTGACATTTGAGCAGAGACCTGAAGGGGTGACGGACTGAGTTGTGCAGATTTCTGAAGGATGAGCACTTCCGGGCAGAGGGAACACAAACTTTGCCCAGGGTACATGAAGGACAGCAAGGAAGCCTGGGTGGCTGGAGAGTGAGTGACCAGGAGAGAGTTTGCCAATGAAGTCAGGTTGATAATGTAGAAAAGATGGCTTGTAAGGCACTGCAAGGACCTGTACTTTTGGACTTAAGAGGGAAGGTTAGAGAAGGGAATGGTGGTCACACCTGACCCTGGTAAGAGAAAGGTGACGGAAACCTGGACTCCAGTCCTCACTTTTATCCCAAACACCAAAGAAACAGGACCCTCTCCTGTCTCAGCAACTTCTCCCTACACCTTGCCCTGGGGAGCTCTGAGCTTAGTATAATTACATTCTCCTGCTTCAAGTAAAAATTTTACTCTGAGTCTGACCCTAATAAGCATTCTAATACTTACACTGAACATTTACAGAATGCTTTATATATACACCCTTTCACTTAATCTTACAACCTCTCAATACACAAGACAGTATCCTCAGTTTATAAAGGAGGCAAATGAAGCTCAGTGACCTTAAGGAAGTTGGCCAAGATTACACACTTAGTAAGAAACTGAATGGAATTTGAATTCAGGTTCTCTGATTCCTTTCTACTTCACACAACTGAGAACCACTCTCCATTTTAGTGATTCTCAAAGTATGATATGCAATCCTGTATGGGCTGTAAACTGATCTGAAAAATCTGCATATTTTCTCCCTGGATTTTTGTGAGTAACATACAGCAATTTCAGACTCTGGTTTTTACATATGACAGAAGCTATTTTAACTGTGTCAGTACGCCATTAAAGTATGCTCAAATTTGAAATTCATGAATATATTATTAAAATGTTATTAAAATAGACTCTAGTTCTATTTTATACCAAGGGTGGCTGCTGCACAATGCTTGTCAATGATACAAAGCTCTGATTGGATAGAAAATGGAATTCTCCTGAAAGGTTCTGACTGGGGCTCATAACTTACTAGATCTTGCCCCATGTAAGTATTAGCGGGCTACAGTTCATGGGGTCACAAAGAGTCGGACACAACTGAAGAAACTTAGCATACCCTTATGCACTCTATGACCAATAGCCCATCTTTTTTGCTCCAGACTGGAAATTGTTTTTCATTCTCTCTTATTCGGACCACAAATTCAGACTATAACATGGCAAAAGTCTAGATTTCCACTTGACACAGGAATCACCCCCCGCTTTGTCCTGAAGGGTAGCTCCCAAGACAGAGGAAGAAAGAGGTTAAGCAGATGAGACAGAAAATCTCATCCAATGACTGTCACATGACTTGGCAACTGGGGCCAGGGTTGCGGTAAGGGAAAGGCAAGGCAGTTTTTAGACTGGGTTTATCAGCTGTGCAGAATCCACTAATATTTGGCAAAGGAACCTATCTGAACGTGGAACCAAGTAAGTGACTCCGTTTTCTTCCTCTTCTTCTTCTTCTTTTGACCACTGTCTCTGTCAGTTGTCTTTGTTAAATATTTTCCCAATTCATCAGTTTAGGAAACACTTCTCAGGTTGTTGAAAGTCCCTTCAGTAAGTGATTTAGCAAGGGATGGTGGAGGAGCAGGGACTGCTCCTTTTGTTTCTGACAAAATCCAGGGTGGGAATGCATTGTAGTAGGCTTCTTGGTCCACTCTCCATCCTGGAGTGTCTTTGTGGCCTTCCCTCTACCTGACTCCCCTTAGAGAACCAGCTTACTTAACACCCATGCATTCGCCATTTACAGATCTGGGCCATGACCAGACCTGTATTACAGCTCATCTAATAAATGTGAGGAGCAGTGACAAGCATGTTAGGCCAAGAATTGAAAGACTGAGTTCTAATCCTTCTTTTTGACCAGCTCTGTGACTTAACTTCACAGTACTTGAGTTTCCTCTAGCTGATTCAAATGATTTCCAAGGTGTCTTCCAGCTTAGTTACTAAGATCCTGAATATCAGCCAGACCAATTCTAAGGGACAATATATTAGGAAAAGAAAGAAAGTTCAATGATGTGAATGTCTTATGATCCAGTGGAAATTCTGAGATTTAATGAAAAATTACACTGAAAAAGGAGTCCAAACTCTCTATATGCCCATTACTTAGCCTTTGTGTGGCCAAAGGAATTTTGACAAGTGGCAGCTGAAGCTCCTTTCAGTCCTGTCATCTATTACTCTGGTTCAATGGATGGGAACTGGGGTCTGGAGACCTAAGAGTCAGACACAGCTCAGTCACTATCTTAACTGCTCTTTAGCTCCAATGACTTCATCTGTAAGACAGATCTAATAATATCACCTCAAGGAGTTTGTTATGATAGTGTTTGTTGTGGTAATGTAAGCACAAGCCATCTGGAAGTAGTAAAATGCTTATAGAAATGGCAGACATCTGAGAGTATTGGGATCTTTTGAAAAGACTCCCAGTCTTTTGCAGAAATGACTTTTGGTCCAGCCATCATGTCCTTCCAACTCTAACTGAGGCATAGTCTTTTCTGATTGACTTGAACCTTACAGCTATGTTTCTGCTGAAAATAGCCATTTGACATTCTCAGCAAAACCAAATTAATTCCTTTCTCTCTGTGAAAATATGATTGTGGAGCAAGATCTTGGGGTAAGAGATGACAGGTTGAGGAGATAACAGAAGTAAACCCTGGGACTTCCCTAAATGCCAACACTCAGAAGATAACACACATCAAAGAAGCTGCCAAAATGAAAGGCTTAGATGTCAGAAACCCTTGTAGAGCTCTATCCAGCTAACCCATCCACTTCCAAACAGATGGACTAGGCAGGGAGAAAATAGGTAGTGAGATTTTGGGTCATGATGTCTGAAATAGTGTGCTGATAATACAACTCGTCTTTTGAAATGAGACTCAACTCATCATGGAACCAAGTGAGTTATGTATTTTATTTAGTGTGTATATTCCCTTGGAAGTGTGGTACAGTCCTGAATAAGCAGAGCTTCTTGAGAAGTTAGGAGGTTCTAAATGGGAAATCCATTGTCATTCCTGTTGTTGCTGTAGAGTCAATGTAAAATTGGAGAATAAAATCATTAGATCTCTCTTAAGAAAATATTCTATGTGTACTTGGAAGCTCTCTTCTGAGGATTATTGATAAGTCTTCTGCAACTGCTTAAATAAAGCCCTAGTCAGACTTCTGGCCTCTGGTCAGGGACTGGGACTAGGGAAAAGGCAAGCTCTGGATCTTTAGAGTATTTCCACTGTTGATGAGGGAAAAGAGCCCTGGTCACAGCATAGGGAGAGGGAAGGTTAGAAGAAGAAAAATATTAAAGAAGGAGTTACAGCAAAAGCACCTTCTCTGCCTCAGATGTCAATAACCAATCTGCCCTTGTCTCTTTTTGCTGAGAACTTGCATTAAATCATCATGCCTGACTCACACTAAATTATTTCCAAGGTCCCATCCTTGTTTGGGTCTGCTGACCACTGTTTTGTGCTCACCTCCCTTGTTGGCCCTGAATCTGAGGATTCTGTAAAAGGTCAGGAGTCTACACCAAAAGTACAAACACAGCCCCCAATTTCAGGACAATAGGGAAGTAGTGGACTCTCCTAGGGATACTGTCCATGGGCAGTCTGTTCCCGTGTTTGGAAATCCAGGGGCCATATTCAGGTAGTTTGGCTAGTTGCCAACCATCAGTCACTGGAACCAGTCCAGAGAACAACAGTCTCTCGGAAGCTTTCCAAAATGCCAAAGCCAATGGGGCATTGGTTAGATTTTGATTTTACTTATTTCAGAGGCAATAAAGAAGTGGAGAAATGTACGTGAAAGTGAGGAGGCAATCTGACAGTCTTGAAAGGGACTGGTAGTGTCAACGTGGTCTCTGCCTCTCAGAGGGTAATATAAACTTACAGGAGTTCTTGATTGCCTTGGGCTTCCAGGGAAATAGTGGAATTTGGTGAGTTTTCTTATCTTTGAGGAGAGGGAGACTAGAGCAATGAAAAGGAGGGAAAACAGAATCACATTGTAACTGATTGCAGTCTGATTGATGTTGGGTAAATTGCATCTGAGCAAAAAGTATTGTGTTTCATTTTCCCTTTAAATCATTTCCACTTGAAATTCAGAGTTATCTGCAGTGTTAGAATCAAATCTCTGAGGCTATGCCTTTGGGAGTCCTAAAGAAGAAGGAAAGAGATGAAACCAAAGCTTAGACCCTCTGCCGAGATGCTGACCAGCACTCTCCAATGACATCCCAATTGCTTCTCCAGTTTTCTCTTCCTGCAGCGATTGAGTAAAATATGATGATATGAGGCTCAGGTAGGGGGTTTAAGAATTTCAAATCAAGCCCCTAATCCTTAAAGTTTTGACAGCAAAGAATGGTCCTTCCCTTTCGCCTAGCTCTAACCCTGGACTCTTGATTTTTTGGTGATAAGACAAAGTAATCTATAGGGTTTTTAAGTTCTATTTCACATGATTACTCTGTCCTCTTGAGGCTTCTATCTGGATCCAGAGTCAAGAGAAATTATAAAACAAAAATAAGCAATCCAAAGCAAGCTCTGGTTTCCCTGACCTGTGTCCATAACACGCAGCACCACTGGGTTCCTCTGACAGCTACCAATTTCTTGTTCAACCCTCGGGTCCTTAGAAAGTCTTTCCACAGGCTCAGGGAATTAGAAAGTAGATTTGTTGTTACTGTGAGACTCGGTCTGAGTGATGGGGGAGAAATTAGGTTTCTAATCAAAAAGCAGGATTGTGACCCAAGAGAAGGGAAACAGAATATGAGAAAAAGAGCAGTGCCTAAAACTCTCCTCAGCCTAACATTCATTACAAGAAATGTCGATATTCAGTGCCCCATTCTTATTCCCAAGCTAGTGTGTTCTTAGAGAGTCCTTTCAATAGACGGGTGTTAAATCTTCCATCTTGGAGGCAGCTATTGGTCTGCTGTCACCCCCTTCTGCTGCTCCGTCTCAGCCCTGTCCCCTGTCCCAGGGCTCCTGGGCTGGGGATTTCATGCTCACCTCCTTACCCAGCAGTTACACTATTCTTAGCTTCAGAGGGAACTGGGACTCTATGTGTTCAGCCCCCTGATTTCATCAAGTGCAGCTTTGTAGCTCTCTGAGCCATGGGGTGTCTAGGCTGGAACTCGAGCTGGGGAGGCAGGACACAGATGCTCTAGCCCAGGCCCCAGAGGCGGCCCCAGGCTGGTTACTTGTCAGGCTGTGTTGCGATGTGCTTCTGGGAGACCCGACAGATATTTTTTGGAGCTGGCACCAAACTCTTCGTGGAGCCCCGTAAGTTGATCTTTTTTTCCATACATTTCTAGGGATAAGTTGACTCCTGGGACTAGACTTGCCATCCAGTTTGTGGTACATGAGAGAGTATAATTAGGAGATGGAGTAGTACAGATGTGGAGTGGGGCACAGTAAAGATACTAGGCTGAGTAGCGAAGTAGCTCTGTAACAATTATTATTAAAAAAAAAAAAATTCTGATAAAAGAGCAGCCCAGAAAGCACAGAGGAATCTAGTAGAAGAATTATACTGATATGTTGGAATATCAGATGCAGGAGGGGCAGAGGCCCAAATTCTCCAGGTGGTTGCTTCATCCTTGCGCATCCCTTTGGCTAAGCTGTGCATATCTTTGGGCCACCTGAAGTGTCCTGCAGCTGGAAGACTTAGGAGAGAGATGGTTAACCAGGTGAGAGTAATCAGATGGAGCAAACTTATATTTCAGTGTTCAAGTTAAAGGCCATCTTGGCAGAAATCTTTGAAATTGTGAGTGACATCTGTTATCAATGTTTAGATGCTTAGAGAACCTGTGAGGTGCTCTATAAGAATCTAGAACATAGATGATTTCTAAGTTTATAAATTAAGGAAGACTGTTCAGGGAAGGTATACACTTCTTTTTGTATGTTTACCAGCACATAACCTTAGCATTAGATGGTACTCATAAAAAGAGAAAGTCTTAAAATAACAATTGCCCACACAAATAGCACTTTGAAACACATGCCAAAATGTAGTTGTATTTGTGGACCAAGAAGAAAGACTGGAAATTCTCAAAAAACAAAAAATTACATCTTTAAATTTTAGACTACAATGTAGTGCAAATTTTACACAACTTCAAATTTTGGTTTAGGCTTAATATAAAATAGACTGGGTTACATGTGACAACTATACTGAATGCATTCTATTTTTCAAAAAAGGTTCGATTCAGTCATATAGCATTTTTTTTTAGTTACCATGATACTAAAGAATGAATTAAACCCTTTACCTTCAAACAACTGTTTTGAATAGATAGACATTAATTTAGAAAGAGGATCTGAGAAAAATGTTTTTTCAAACCAATGCATCATGCTCTATCTGAAATACTAACAGCTTCAGAGCTCAATATCCTGAGTGTATGACCTTCTTCAGACATCTGTCTTGTTGGTTACATCAAATTGTTCAAATTACTCAAGCCAGGTCTCTCCATCCCAGAGTAGAAATGTAGATTTTTAAATCCCAAGCAAGGCTTAATTTTCCAACTAAATCAGACTAGGACTGGATCATATTTTTAAGTAATGAAGAAAATAGGAATGTTTTGGCTTTGGTTTTTAATGGACTAGTTTCGTTTCTCTATAACTCATAGCTTCCTTGAAAACCAACTGGATTCATCTCACCAAATCAGTATTGTGAGCAAGAAATGCCACAGTTCTGAAGGGAGATGACTGAGCAGAATGTGCGGTTTCCAAGCCGTTACTGCTGGGCTTATCAGTGTCGGTTATCAGCAGCTTCAGCTATGCCAGGAAACAAAACAATGAAGCTTTTCTCCTTTTAGGTTCCAGGAGAGCTTTTGAAAAATCCCCAACACCCCCCGCCCCCACACCTCTGATTTTAAGGAAAGAAAAAGATGCATACACAGAGTAGCAGATAAATGATTGTCCAAGATGAGGCATGAAAAGAGAGAAGGCCAGGAGGAGACCCAGTTATTGTAACCCATATTCCACAGCTCCGCTTAGAACAAAACAATAAGAAATGGGCTTAAATTGGTTTCATGCTCATTAGGACTTCTGAGAATGACAGTTATTATTCTCTGATTAAAGACTCAAAAGAAACTGTAGGGTAGTCCCTTACAAGAGAACAAGAGTTCACCTCAAGGCAGAGAGATGAATCATTTAACTTTAGCAGATCCCTTCTAGTCCAAAAACTAGGAATGACACCCTGAAATGATGTCAACACTAATATCTGCAGAGTGTTGGAACCACCATGGAGCCCTTTTCAGACTCTGCTTTGATCTCACTCCAAGGGTTCATGCATCTAAAATAAACCAACTACAGTACAACTTAAGCTTGGTGCTCTGTGATGACCTGGAGGGGTGGGATGGTGGGCGGGTGGGGGTAGGGGGGTTGAGAGGGAAGCTCAAGAGGGAGGGGGATATATGTATACTTATAGCTAGTTCAAACTGTTGTACAGTAGAAACTAACACAAATTTGTAAAGCAGTTATACTCCAATCTAAAAATAAATTTAAAATTAATGAAAATGGAGGATATTCAGAAATTAAATAAATGTACTGATTCAGATAGATATTCAGCCTAACTCAACTGTCCAGAGGATTGACTAATAAGACATAGATAATTGAAACTCAGTTGACCTAGACAGTTTTTTGTATTTGTCATTGTCTATCTCTACTCCCAATCATAACTCTTCGCATCTCCTAACTAGGAGTCAAATTGCCTGCCTTTCATTTCTACTTCCCTTGGTCATCCCTTCATGGAGATGCTAACAAGTTCAGGTCACTAACAGGATGCAGGAAAGTCTGGATTGTGGTGTTTGGCCCCAGGGAAACTGAGGAAAACAGCATTGTTCAACTCCCACATGTGAATAATCATCTCACAAAAAACTGATTATATTTGCAGAAAATCAACCTTCTGCCAGCCCATCTGTTTTTGTCATGAAAAATGGGACAAATGTCGCTTGTTTGGTGAAGGAGTTCTACCCCAAAGATGTAACTATAAGTCTGCAATCATCCAAGAAAATAATAGAATATGACCCTGCTATTGTCGTCTCACCTGGGGGGAAGTACAGTGCTGTCAAGCTTGGTCAGTATGAAGATTCTGATTCAGTGACATGTTTGGTTGAACACAACAAAAAAACCTTGAGCTCTACTGACTTTGAACCAAAGAAAACTATTTCAGGTAGGTCCTATCTGGCCTCAAGGGGCTGGGGTTGTGGGGAAGAAAAGTTGAGGGAAAGAGAAGTTGGAGACGTAAACTTTTGACAAATCACATTCAATATGGCATCATGCTGGAAATAAGACTTAGGTTCAGACTTAAGGATTAGGCTTAATTCCCATCCCTGAACGGGAATTTAAACTTGCTGCATCTCTGAGCTGGAATCTAGGATAAAATCCATCTTATTTCATCCCCATCTCTCCTCTTCACCAAACTCTGTCTCCTTCATACTAAAGACTCTAGGACTGAACGTTCATGTGGGATCTGATCTAGAGTGAATGCCACAACCAAGGGCAGCCCAGCTTATCTTGGTGTTCATTGTCCCAGTTCTTCCTACAAATTGGAGGCATACCTGGATGTTGGCTTCATGGCCTAATGGGAAAAAAAAACCTCAAGACAGGAAGCATGCTGGCTGTGTCAATAGCTGTAGGACCTTGACCAAGTCACTCCTCTGGTCCTTAGTTTACTTACTTAAAGTCACCTCCAATTCTAAAACCTGAAAGCCCTTGAGCCTCTCAGTTGTCATTGTAACCCTGACCACTGCTGTTTGTTCCAGGAACTCCAAAACCGACAGAATCTGTAAACAGCACAAAAGCTCCAGTTTCAGAGATCTGCTATGAGCCCCAAGGTTAGTTGAAGCCAAAGGGCCAACTTCAGAATTGAGGTTAAAGCAAACTCTGTCATTGTTAGATGGGGCCCAAAATCATTCTATTTCAAAAGAAAACAAAAATCATGCCTGAGTCTAGTTGGCTCCCTCTAACTCTTCAAGCAGAGTCTTGCTGACTATAGGAATGGGTTTTTCCAAAGCTTGCTTTGCTGACTGTGAACAGCAGCTTCAGGTCTGTGAAGGCTGTCTGGCACCACGCTGGGCTTCAGACCAGGAAGAATGATGGTGATGTGGGGCAGGCTGGTGTTGGTGCTGTAAGCCAATATCTGGCAGGAAATTTAGCCTCTTGCTAAGTGAGTGAGCCATCTCCACTCTCGTTCATCTGCAGTGCAACCCGGGAAGGTGAACATGCTGTCCCTCTCGGTGCTGGGGCTCCGAATGCTGTTTGCCAAGAGTGTTGCCGTCAATTTTCTCTTGACTGCCAAGTTATTTTTCTTTTAAGGTAAGATCTAGCTGCTTATTATTCATAACTCCACCCAAACTATGCTACACATGGAAGAAAGGAGTTTAGGAATGAGAAGAAGCATTAGGAAAGGAAAAAAACACATAGAGACCTATTACGATTCAATAAGGTGGGCCTTTCTAAATACTTAGCATAACACTGTCTCCCGTTGGCCTTTTATTTCAAGCCAGACTCAAAATTCATGTAATATAATGCAATACCAGTCAATAATCCTCACCTCCAACTGAGGAGCTAGAAAAACTGGACCTAAACAGGAAAAATCTTTTTCTTCATTGCTATTTTTGTGTATATGGCCAAAGGACCATGGGCTTTTTGAGAGACCATCAGTAAAGGCTCACTTGAAGAATATTCAGGGGAGCAGAACTTGTCTTTGCCAGACAAAGGTGATGCCAGTTCTTGATCCTTAGTCACAGGACTCAATGTGTCGACCAGCCTATCTTTGGGATGAACCTACACTCCTATTCTTAGTGGACAGCTCACTAGTAACCACTCAGGATGCATGCAAATTGAGGATGAGATGTGAATTATTTGCCTGTTACTTGCAGTCCCTCTTTGGTTATCTTGTTATTGGTGTTCAGTCACTAAGTCATGTCCGACTCTTTGTGACTCCATGGACTGCAGCACGCCAGGCTTCCCTGTCCTTCACTATCTCCCGGAGTTTGCTCAAACTCATGTCCATTGAGCCAATGATGTTATCTAACCATCTGCCACCACCTTCTTCTCTTGCCCTCAATCTTTCCCAGCATCAGGGTCTTTTTCAATGAATTAGCTCTTCGCATCAGGTGGCCAAAGTATCTTAGACATGAAATTTGAACCAGGACTTAGGTTTGTCTATAAAGCTCCTTCTCCAGTGCCCCCAAACAACCTTCAGTCCCAGCTCCTGATCTAAGGACAACCCTAGACTTAGTGTGTTGGACTTGCCCAACCTAGCCTGCAAGCATCCTCAGTCATTCCCCAACAGGTGAGTGTTTTACAAGCCATCCCAAGGACACAGGCCAAATAGCTACATGAAAAGGACCTTCTGACCTCAGTAGGATCAGAAGCACTAGATTTTAGTTCCAACTTTGTCACTAACTCACTACATTACCTGAGCCAGTTTGCTTCACCCTGTTGGACCTGGGTTATCACATCTGTAACACAAAGCAGTAAAGAATAACTAAAGGAGAACAGATGGGTTTTATGACTGGTGCCAACACTGATAAACTGATAGTGACTAGCTGAACTATCACCATGTGTAGAAGGAACATATGCCAGGATAGGTTAGTGATGTCTGCAATTGTACAACCACAGCAAGTACTGACCATCCCCATGACTGCTACAATTCCTTCCAGCACTGAAGGTCTATGATTCTATAGCTCTGACAGTTTTCCTTCATTTGCAGGCTGACTGGCATGAGAAGGCTGCATTCCCTGAAAGAAACCAAAAGCCTACAGAGGAACTATCTCCTAGGCTTTCAACTTTTTGGTGATTCAAGTTGACCCGTCCCAGCCTTGCTTAAATGGCTGTTCCCCCAAACTGGTTTTCCTTTAAAGGCAACAAATCCAGCTTATCCTTCAGCCTGATGAAAGACAGGAGTCCTGGGGAGTGGGGGCTTATGGCCCCAACTGTTTTATATGCTGCTTTATAAAGGGATAAGAGATATGAAGGTATATAGGGCTTATTTTTTTTCCTATGATTGACATACTTTGAAAGTGGTGTTTTGCTCCTTTGACTTTCTTTGCCTCCAGAACTAGAAAGTGGGACCCATCCGGTTCCCAGCTCCATCCTCCAAGAGGAAAAATAGATCCTGGGGAAAGGAGAGTGGGTGTCCTTCTACCTAAATGTAAAAGCCTCTGTTCAACCCAGCACTAGATTTGCCCAAACTAGCGTTCTCATCTACAAAGGCACTTTCTGCTTTCCCTATTACTTGGCAAACAAAACTATACTTGACTCCCTAATACTCTCTGTGTAGGCAATGGGGTTTCTAAAGTCTCATATACATACTCTCAGAGCTGTCAGCAGAGATCAGAGTAAAATGCAGAGGAAATGTGCTTTCCTCAACTTAACAAACATGAATTATTGCAAGTTCCAGGCACTGTGCTGAGAGTGCAAAAATAAGTAAGACATGAGTCTTGCTTTCAAGCAACTCACTGTGCAAGTATTTTTGGAAGGAGGGATAGGAATGAGTCCCCAGTATTTCCCTGTAAAACCAGAGTCTTCCTGACCCCTTGCCTGCCCATCTGTGCATGGGGAATTTGAGGGCACTGGATCTTTGGTGTTGATGGTTTTCTGCCATTCTTTTTTGTCTCTGTTGCATTTATTAAAGTGCATTGTATGTACCTTGCTTCTGACTTTATTCATTGTGGACCACTGCAGGGGGAAAGTGGGGGGGAGGGCTGTGAATTCACTAGTAGTCAGACAAAAACCAAACTGAGCTCATAGGTCACACCACAGCTTCCTGGGCCCCTAGCCCAGCCCTGGGTTTCCTGCTGTTGTTGCCGCAGCTGCTACAACAGCAGCAGCGCCCCTCCTCGCATGTGGCCACTGACCTCTGCTCCTCTCACTCGGCAAGGCCAGCTTCATCCCTTTGCAGGAACACAGGTAACAGAGGCCTAGAAACCCAGCACCGTGGGTGCCTCAGCACCTCTGCGGGGTGTCAGCTGGGGACTCACGAGGTTACAAGTGAAAGAGCAAGGCTCAGCCACAACTCCCCCGCCTTTGCCATCTGCAGACTGCCACGTCAGGTCCTCACACCCCAAACCAAAGAAAGGAGGCAGCTGCATTCTGAGTCAGTGAGTTTAGGACAATCTAGGTGGATAAGCCAGGTCTATCCTGGGAAAAACCACTAGAAGATTCCACACATTGTCACCTCATGGGCATCAAGAATGCCTATTTCCAAAACATGTGCATCTGTTACCTTGGGCCATTCTTAGAATATTTCTCTGAAGTTGCTAAAAACTAAAAGATCATAGATTCATTTTTCAGGTGGAAAAAAAATGCCCCCCAAAAAGTTGTGTACCTTGTCCAAAGTCATTCAGTGGGGCAGGGATATTTCTGGGAGCAGAACCAAGTTATCAGGGGTGCCAACTCCAAGTTCAAACAGTCCTGCACTTAGCATATGAATGGGCCACCCACTGGCCCACTTTGATCATCAGCAAAAGGCAACCTGGCATTTTAGAGGACTATGAATTTCTTCCACCAAAGGGACCCTCCAGAAAAGATTTAAGGCTGGAGCCAGAGGGCACTGTGGCTGCCTTCAGGTGTGGGGACCTTGCTACCATGGATTATAGGTTTCCAGAGCTTTCACATGCAGAATCTCAAGTCCCACAAGGACCCAAAAGGGGTTTACAGAAGAGTATTACACACACTCAGTAGGTGGCAGAACAGAAGCCCCAGAGGCTGTCATTTGCCTGAAACTTTGGCTCCCTCACCCATGTTCTTCCCTTCCTTCTCTATAGTGACTACTCTCCACTTGCCTGTGCTGAAGCCCAGACAAATTGCTGCCCAAGCTGCCTACTGCTACAGCCTCCTAGGGCGCAGCTGCATGGGAGCACCCAGAAATGCAGCCCCGCTCCCTTGGCCCAGTCATTAACCAGCTCAGTGACCTTCTGATTGTCCCTCACTTCTCTGGGCTTCGATGCTTTTCCCATAAAATAACGTCTAACGTGTCTACTAGGGCTTCTCCAGTGGCTCAGCCATAAACAATCCGCCTGCAGTGCAGGAGACTGGTTCAATCCCTGGATCAGGAAGATCCCCTGGAGAAGAAATGGCAATCCACTCCAGTATTCTCGCCCGGAGAATTCCATGGTCAGATGGCAACCTACTCCAGTATTCTTGCCTGGAGAATTCCATGGATGAAGGAGTCTGGTGGGCAACAGTCCATGGGGTCACAAAAGAGTCTGACACAACTTAGCGACTCAACCACCACCACCAAGGCTTCTACTATTTCTAAGATTACACGTAATAACTCTAATAGTTGTCTTAAGGCAGAAACATCAGTAGTAGAGGAAGGAGGGGTGCAATCCCAGGGCTGAGGGTGTATCTATTTTTGACATCACATTCTGGTTTACCCTGGAGGTAATTCTCTCCCCTGGGGATGCCACTGGGCTCCAAACTCAGGAACTTTGAAGCTGGGATTCTGGTTTTCACAGACAGCTTTCTGGGAATAACTCAAAGCTCTTTGGTGAAAGGAAAATATTCTCCAGACAAAGTAAAAGGAGGTACCAAAGAACATCCCAGAGAAATAAAGTAACTGCACAAGAAGATGTTCATGAAAGGTAAACTGGGGACATTTTTTAAAGTAAATAACTTTGTGTCCAATTTGAATCTTAAAAGGGAAACAGGCCAATTCCAACAATGGATAAATGATGGAGATAAAATAAACACACTTCCAATGGTGTGTTTAGATACTCTCTTTAGATTGGTCCCCCACCCACCCCATCTGGCTATCCGCCCAGGGCACGCAGCACATCCCTGTCAAGCCCTTCTCTGTATCAGGCACAACCCGGGCACCAGGGTCCCTCAGACAGGCAGTCTCCCTTCCCCACCACGGGCACCAGGGCAGCAAGGGCCCTCTATGAAGTGGGGCGACATCTCTTCCATTGGAAGTCGGGATTCTCCCCTGCAAGTACCCAGGCTTTTTCGTATTAGGCAGACACGTTAGGGCACCTCCCAAGGCCAGACTGGACCACAGAATGACGAGGAAGAAGGATGTCATGTCCAAGGACATGAGCTGCCCAGAGAAGCAGCTCTGCGAGGCTGTGCCCAGGGGTTTATGTGGAGACTTCCTGGGTGCCTGCATCACTGTGGGAGCTCTAAAGCACAGTAGTAAGTGGCGGTGTCTTCAAGCCTCACGGAGGAGATCACCAAGTGGAAGGTTTTGTGGCGCACACTATGCTGCACGGAAAATCTACCCTGAGCAAAATCTGCATCATGGGATTTAGCGTTGTCCCGATACAGGACAAACTGGAAGACACCATCTGGTCTTATTCGGTACCAGTACAAGTCTGGATTTGAATATGTGGTTTGGAAAGTGCAGAGCAGTGTCACCTCACTGCCACTCGCCACTCTCTGCTCCGGGGAACTCTGGGTCACTTGGTTACACAGCACGCCCTTGTCTGTGAAGAGAAAAAATAAGGAAACAGTGAGGGGCTATGTTCTGCAGGTCCTGGGTCCAGCACAGGCCCACCCAGGGGAACTCAATGGGCAAAGGCAGGGGAAGGACACAGAGAGGAAAATTAAAGGCGGAAAATAACTGGAAAATCTAGTGTGAATGGGAAAGAGCCCAAGCCTCGGAAAATCAGAAACAGGGAAACGGATGATAGAATAAGTAGGACATAACAGTGAGTGCACTTACAGAAAAGCAAAAGGCTGAAGCCCATAGGGAGAAACATCTTTTTATATCAGGGAGGAGGATATAGAATAAAACTGGGCTCCTTAAACCTCTGAGACTGTCTCTGGGGCTTCTGAAGAGAAGGAGATGGGAGGGACGTGGCAGGAGTGGAACAGCCCTAACAGTCACGTGCCTGAATTAGCTGTAACTCTCTGAGGCACATGCTTCCAACCCAGGAAATGTCGTTGTTGTTGTTTTTGTAGTCCTCAATCCTCTTGAACTAATCCTTTGGTAAAACACAATGAAAATGAATTAGTTTTTTAGAAAGGAAAAAAATAGAAATTACAAGCCTAATGATCACATACTTTGATATCAAATTGCCCTGCATGCTGTATGCTCAGTTGCTTCACTCATGTCCAACTCTCTGCGACCCTGTGGACTATAGTCCCCCAGGCTCCTCTGTCCATGGATTCTCCAGGAAAGAATACTGGAGTGGGTTGCTATGCCTTCCTCCAAGGGATCTTCCTGACCCAGGGTTCGAACCCGCATCTCCTATCTCTCCTCCATTGCAGGCAGATTCTTTACCCACTGAGCCATCAGGGAAGCCCTAACACTGGCTCATTGTCCATTTCCACATCCTCTGGGGACAGACTGGGTACTGGTCCAGTATCGCACTTCGAGTCTCACGCACGAGCCCAGCTGCCCATACCCGGGGCACTCGGTACATGGAACAAATGGATGGGGCCCTTCACCTAGTATTACATCTTTGTGTAATGAGAAAAGGAAGAGACTTGGATAAGGTCTTTTCTAAAATCTGCTCTAAGGACTTCCCTGGTGGTCCAGTGGCTAAGACTCCACGCTCCCAATAGAGGAGGGGCTTGGGTTTGATGGCTGGTTCACGGAACTAGACCCCACATACCACAACTAAAGAACCTGCATGCTGCAATGAAGACAGAAGATTCCGCACGCTGCAACCAAGACCTGATGCGGCCAAAGAAATAAATATTTTTTAATAAATAAAATCTGCTCTAGCCCTGAATTCTAGAACTCTTGTTTCTTTTGCTGTTGTTGTTGCTTATTTATTTTTATACAAGTTTTTAATGTTACACTCTGTTAACGATTATTACAAAATATTGAACTCCTCTATTTCTTTTTCCCCCAGTTTTTTTAATTTTTTCTTTCTTTTTAATTTTTTAAATTCTGAAAGTATGATAAAGTTACCAGAGACTTGGAAAATACAGAACAAAGTAACATACAGTTCCACTCTACATTACAATTATTTTCTTAAGTAGCTAAATTAAGATTTTTAGTTGGAGTTTCAGTATTAAACTCTCAAAAATGAATAGAATGAATATACAGAAAAGCAGAAGGATCGATTTCTGATGGATCAGGAGGGCTGCGATTCTGAGATCATTCTTTCACTTCCCGCAGTCTGATTTCCATCTCTCCTGCAGCACACACTTGGCCCCAGCTGGAAAATTCTCCCCTGAAGCAGCGCTTCCCAGTGGGTGAGCTGCCGTGAGTAGGTTACAAAGCTGCTGAGACAGTGCTCCCAGGGGCCACTGGGACCTGGGGTAGCTGGAGCCTCCTGGGTCAGCCCCTCCTGGCCACACTCAAGTACAAATATTATCTTCTGTATAAGCCAAGACATGACAACTGCTGGGAGGCACTGCCCTAAAAGAACAGATGACCAGCTTGCTCTCCCAAACCTAGGAGTGTTTCTAGGAGTGCTCTGGAGTCCCTCTGTTTCCCTGTCCCCCACCTTCAGTTCATCAGAAAGGACTGCCAGCTCCACCAAGAAGTGTGTCTCCAAGTGCCTCCACTTCTCTCCACCCCCACCCCCTCCTGCCAATACCACCGTCTTGTGTCAGGCCCATGGCAGTAACACCCCAACTGGTCCCCTTGCCTCTGCTCTTGCCCCTGGACAATCCCTCTCCAGGTCTTCATAAAATGTAAACCTAATGATGTCAGGGGGGCCTCCTATCCTGGCCTGTGACCCACTGCACATGGTGGGACCGCTGCTGTCTGCCAGCATCCTCGAGTACCCTCTCCTACACCCATCACTGCCCTTCAGCTGCTGTGGCCTTCCTTCTGCTCTTCTCCCTGCCTCCCTCTTCTAGCTGCCTGAAACTCTGCTTCCAGTTTTTTACCAGTCTCAGCTCTGAGAGTCTCTCCCTGGCAAATAAATGTCACTCACTTGGGTACCCAGAGTCCCCCTCAATTTCATCTCTGTCTTATTTTCACATCTCATCAATCACTATATTTGACATCACTGGGCTTATACACGCTTATTATTTGCCTTTCCCTTCTCACCCTGTATGGGCTTCCCTGATAGCTCAGTTGGTAAAGAATCTGCCTGCAGTGCAGGAGACCCCAGTTTGATACCTGGGTTAGGAAAAGCCTCTGGAGAAGGGAAAAGCTATCCACTCCAGGATTCTTGGGTTCCCTGATGGCTCAGCTGGTGATGAATCTGTCTGCAATGCAGGAGACCTGGGTTTGATCTCTGGGTTGGGAAGATCCCCTGGAGAAGGGAAACGCTACCCACTCCAGTGTTCTGGCCTGGAGAATTCCATGGACTGTATAGATGAGGTTACAAAGAGTCAGACACAACTGAGCAACTTTCACTTTCACTTTCTCAACCTGTGAACATACACATACACGGTGGGTCCTAGCCCCTAGGACTGTGTCTGCCATGTATCTGGCAATCAACAAATATTTGTGAACAAAGGAATATAACTTTCTCCACTTAAAAACTCACCACTGGCATGGATAAGTTTGCCAGATTTTTTTTTATTGAAGTATAGTTGATTTACAATGTTGTATTAGCTTCTGGTGTACAGCATAGTGATTGCTATTTATATGTACATATATATATTCTTTTTAATATTCTTTTCCTTTTTGGATTATTACAGGATATTGAATATAGTTTAGTTCCCAGTGCTGTACATAAGACCTTGATGTTTATCTATTTTATCTGTAGTACTTTACACAGTATTTGTCTTTCTCTTTCTAACTTACTTCACTCAGTATGATAATCCATAGATCCATCTGTGTTGCTGAAAATGGCATTATTTCATTCTTTTTCTGGCTGAGTAGTATTCCATTGTGTATATATACCACATTTTCAGTATCCATTCATCTGTTGATGAACATTTACGTTACCTCCATGTCTTGGCTATTGTAAGTAGTAAAGATGACAGATTTAACAAATAAAAATACAGGACACTCAGTTAAGTTTGCATTCCAAATGAACAACAACAACAAATTTTTGGTAATAATTGGAGCTTCCCTGGTAGCTCAGCTGGTAAAGAATCCACCTGTAATGCAGGAGACCCCAATTCTCTTCCTGGGTCAGGAAGATCCACTGGAGAAGAGATGGGCTACCCACTCCTATATTCTTGGGCTTCCCTGGGCTCAGCTGGTAAAGAATCCACCTGCAATACAGAAGACCTGGGTTTGATCCCTGAGTTGGGAAGATCCCCTGGAGAAGGGAAAGGCTGCCTACTCCAGTATTCTGGCCTGGAGAATTCCATGGACTCTATAGTCCATGGGGTCGCAAAGAGTCAGACATGACTGAGTGACTTTCACTAGTAATAATTGGGACATGCCATATTTGGGACATATTTATTCTAAAAAGATATTCATTGTTTTTCTGAAATTCAAATTTCACTGGACATTTTGCATTTTATCTGGCAATCCTTGTCATGAAGATCACCGAAAGCATACCCCAGGAAGTCTGAAACCCCAGCGTGAGCATCCGCAGGCCCCCGGATGTGAAAGAGGGAGGTTCAGTAACCAGGTTGCTATGTCTGATCAGCTGTTTCCAGGCCTGCACTGCCTCCTGCAGGCAGGGGTTCCCCTCTCAAGGCACCAGCCCCTCCGAGAGGGAAGGCCACTTGGAGCTTCTCGCTCTGAGATAATCATGCGCTCTGGCAACCTGCGCTCAGTCTTTGGGAGTCTGTCCCTGCTCTAAAGGTGGTGCGAAGCATGATATTTATGAGAGCTGAGTGCTCCCTTCCTGACCTAGGCAATATAACAGTTTACAAATTAAACTGCTGCTCCTCTTCTGACAGCCCAACCTTAGTTACATCTGCCCACACTCGAGAACAGAGGAGAGGGCTTCACAGACCCTCACTCAGGGGCATCTGCCCTCTCCCTAAGCCTTCACACTGAGACCTTCTCAGGGTGGCACAATCATAAAACGACCCCCTCCCCACCATGATGTCCTTCCATCACTCCTTGAGAGGCGTCGCTTCAACCAGGGCACTTCTCAGAACAGCAGTGCAGTAAGGAGTGGGGCTCCGGATCCACACCACTTGGGTTCCTATCAGCTCCAGCATCTTGCTGTGAGACCTTAAACACAACCTAACTTCTCCTCAAGCCTCAGTTTCTCCATCTATAAAGTGGAGATGAAAATAATAATAGTTTTCTCACAGGACTGCTGGAAAATTAAATGAAATAACACAAGCAATACACCCAGCAAGTGATCTAAGAGTGCTAGTCATTGCTGTTGCTATTGTCGTTTTTGTGAAATAGACTGATGAACAAACTCCTGAGAGCTTGAGTCTCATCAAAGATGTTCAGAAATAAGATGCTGAGTAAATCTAAAAAATAAAGTTGTGAAATCACACCAAAAAAAATTTTTAAACCATGTTGTACCAATCGATGGCAAATAAAAAAGGGACTCTCATCTTTCATCTCTGTCACTGCTGTATGTCATAGAGCTCTGTGCTCCCCTAAGACCTGAGCCAGCTATGCTTATCCCAAACCCCTAAGAGCACTGGGAATATGAAATGAATCTGCTAGCTCACTGCCCTATGTCTTCCGAAGGTTTCAACAGGCTTGTTCACAGGAGACCACAAAGTACAGAAGAGAGTGACCCCCAAAGTTTAGAGCTAAGAGAGACTCAAGATTAATGACCTACTAGGGACACATTGCCCTTGAACTTTCCTGCCCCATCTCCCTTAAACCTGTGGGTGTCTGCATCTGAGTCCAGGCAGCGAGCGCCCTGGACTGCCTTTCTTTAACCCAAAACCACCACACAACAGAGGCCTTTGGACCTGACGGGGCCCCAGGTATTTGATAAAGAAGCCACTCTTGTCCCAGGCTTGGATTTGATCACTACACTAGCTCAAAGAAGGGGGGTTTTTCTCCCAGTTTCCTTTGAGGCGGGCAGCTTTGTTTTTGACCTTATAGCGCCCCCTGCTGTTCTAATTAGCCCATCTCCATTAAGTAGGTCATACTGGAGGTTGGCAGAAAAGAGGTCAGAGGAGAAAAATATTCTTTGTTCAGAACTTAGTCAAAGTTGCAGCTTCTGTTCCCCCATCCCCTTTCAACCCTGACACTGGCAGCTGCTTCTCTGTTGGGCCAAAAGGCCCATCCTCCCCAGTCCTTCAGAGCACTGTCTTCAAGGACATAAGACAGCACCCCACAAGGGTACATGGGACGTTTCCCTACCAAACAAAAGCCTAGTGCAACAGCAAAGGACACAGGGAAATGTCTTTGGATGGACATGGACAAACACATCGCTTTTTTAATGAAAGAACAGAAATGTGATTAAAAGGAAAAGCTTAGAAACATCTGTGTGATGATGGCAATGAGTGGTCTAGCAGAAGAGTTTCTGCATCACTTTCTTCCTGTGGCCCATTCCATTCCAAGACCCCCAGGACAGACCTGGGCGGATGGATAAGAGGAAGCATGCCAGGGACGGACTGAGGTCCAGCAGACGTCCTCTATCCCCAGGACCTCTGTTTGGGGGGAAGATCTTGCTGAAGGCTCTTTGGGCCAGAGCCAGCATGAAGAACACTACCATGGTTTGCTGCCCAAGGCCTATGTTTGAAGGAAAGCGGTGAGGAAGAAGCAATACTCCATGGTATTACTGTCATCACCTCTGGAGCAGCCTATGGAAGGAACAGTCTTGATCCAACCAGGTCAGTGATATCTTTTGTGATGGGGCTGTGTGGGACCTGGCCTGACCCTGACCCAAGCACATCTCTCAAGCCATTTGTAGGATCTTCTCTCCAATTATCCCCCAGGCATGGAGAGCAAGCAGGTGACATCTCAATTACCAAGGGCTAGCAATTGGTAATAGTTATCTGGAGCACAGTTTTAAGAAGGATTGTGAACTATATGTAAAATAGATAAGCAACAAGAATTTATTGTATAGCAGAGGGAAATATATTCAATACCTTTGAATAACCTACAATGAAAAATCAGAAATACATTTAATATATATTTCTACATTAATAAATATATATAACTGAATCACTTTGTCATACACCTGAAACTAACATAATATTTTAAATCAACTACACTTCAATTTTTTTTAAAAAAGGGACTGAGGCTACATCTAGACCCAGAGGAGCAGAGTGATGTGTCTATTAGCAATACCTGCCCCGGGAACAGGAACAGAAGGTAACACCACATGGCTTTGTGTTTGCCACCATCCTGCTTAGATGTCAGTCCTGGTAATGAGTCCCGCAGAGAAAGACTAATCAGAGGCAACTCTCTGTTGGATTATCCTTTTGGTAAAGGGCAAATTTCTAAATCTCTGTCTTTCCCTTGGCTTCCCTGAGACCTCACGGGCCATTTCCCCCGCTATCAATTGCTGTTGCCTGCAGCCTAAGAAATAAAATTTTAAAAATGAATTAAGATGCTCTATATTTCTCTTTAAAATTTTAAACCCTGTGCCAAAGCCAAACATCTCCCTTGTATCACTTATCCACTGCTTACCAGAGATAACCATACCCAGGCTAGCCAGGAGAGCCCCAGGGATGGGGCCTACCAAGGAGAGTCGCTGTTCTCTTGAGTCACAGCAAGTAAGAAGGCAGGAAGGGACTTAGGTGTTCTGATTTCTAGCCCCACTTCTGTCTCTACCTACTGATGTGGCCTTAAGCAACTTTATCCCTCAGGGCTTGGGCTTCTTCATCTTCTGCTTGGCCCCAGCAGCTGCTAAGTTCCCTTCCAAGTCTTGCACTTTAAGATGCTAATGTATGAAGCTGAGAGCTAAGAACTAAGAGAATTATCGGTTTATATTCCCCTGAGTGTGTGCTTAAACTCTGTCATGCCCAGCAAGGGAGAAAAGCAAAGCGTGCTTTCTTTTCTTCACTGGGGGGTAGCATTATTTCTTGATTCACTATGTGCGTGACTCATCAGAACCTGGAGGTTTGTGCCCTTATGCCAACTTGGAATCCAGTTATTATTGCATCTGGGAGAAAGAAAGTGCTGAAAACAGCCTTTGCAGCGGGGGCGGGGGGGCATTAATTTGGCAAGAAAAAAAAAAGTCTCTGCATCGTGTGATAACATTTTGATATCTTATTTATCATCTTCATCCCTAAAATCTACTCAGCCACCTACTATCTCTGTCCTAACAGAGGGAAGAGGGCAGAGCTTTCCCAGGAAAGAGGGGGCCCCTGAGGAGGACAGAGGCTATCTCTGTCTAGTGAGGAAGGAGAACAAAGGTGATGCCACATCCCTTTCAACCGTGCTGACACTTCTAGTTTTTGTAAAGGTGTTCGCTCCTGTGGGAATGGGGTTAATAGGAAACTGACATTTTGGAACCAAGACTAGAGGAATCTTGAAATTCAGTACGTACTCTCTGGCAGAATTAATTTTTTTTTCATCTGAAAATTGTCAGAGAGATATTCAAGTGTTCTTTGAGGAAGAGGAGCAAAAGATGAATGATTAATACAATTCAATTTAACAAATATTTATTAAGTGCCCACAGTGTTCCCCAGAGATCACCTGGGCCAGTTTTGGAGGAGGTGGTCTCACTGCCCTAAGGGAGGAAGGGTTCTGTCAATGGATGAACAATGACAACGGATTTACCTTTGAGACCTAGATGTGGTTAACTGTGGCCCTGCGTAAGTGGCTTATCTTCAGTGGGGGGAAAATAAGTACACAACAGCATGGATAATCTAAAACACAAGATCATCAAAAATGGTATTTCATAATTGACTTTTAGCACGTATTCATTATTTTGTAGGGCCAGTTTCTCTCCCCAACTGTAAGTTTTCTTGATCTATTAAATCTATGGGGGGGGAAAGCTTTTCAAGAATCATAGATTTCTGAAAGTAGGCTCATAGTCAACTTAGGAAGAAGTGGTACCTTTTATTTTTCCAATAATGAAAAAGGGGACCTGACATCCCTCATACACTTGATGCCCACAGGGATCTCCTTTCCTGTTGTAGGTCAGAACCAATGGTGAACCACCAGGCAGTTATAATTTTTATAGATCTGTACAACAAGATGGGCAATAAGAAATAGCCTACAAGATGTTCAGAATACGGGAGTCTCAGCTGCCCAGGAAGCCAGAGAATTCTGGACCCCTTAACATGATTGGTCCTGGCGTCCTCGTGGCCTGAGTTCTGGGCTGCAGAACAACCCTAAGTGACCTTGCTCACCAAGCTGGCCCCCTAATCACCCCAGAGACAGGCTGCATCTGAGAAGAGGAAGTCACAGCCCAGCACTAAGACGAACTTTTGGTAAAGGGCCCAGGCACTGTGTAAAGAGCACTGAGAAATTCACCTTTGGGAAAGGGACTCAGTTAATTGTAAGCCTGGGTGAGTACCTCCATTTCAGATGTAGTGTTAGCAAAACCCCCCTCATCATCTAACACCTAGCAACCAGAGAGCTGGCACTGGTGGCTAGATGATGAACTCCCTCATCCACTGGGAAAAGACTATAAATATCAAACCACCTTTCCTGTGGATAAGCAAGAGCCTGTAGTTTATGTAAAGGTGTCTGCTCCTGTGGGAAGCAAGGCAATTTACATTCGGAACCGGGACTCAAGTGAGAGTGAAACTTAGTAAGTACTAGCTTTAAGCCAAAGGTGTCAGTTTATTTGGTCTGGTTTTTGAATTATCTGGAAGTTCCAAAGAAAGAACACTTTTCCCTGAGGATTTGGTTCCAAAATTCTGACTTCCAACTTCTAAAAAGATCTAATGTTAAGGCAGATGGTAGGCTTGAAAAACTCTATTTCCCTATGTGATAAGTAGAGACCTACTTTTCTTTTTTCTGCTTATTTGTTTTATTTTGTTTAGGAAATGGGGAGACCTAGACACTCTGGGAGGTTGCGGGGGGGGGGGAATAGATTTGCACAGTATTTTTGGATAGATTAGGCCCAGAAAATCAAATCAAAGAGTAACAGCTCAAAAAGTCTTGAAAGACCACCTAACTCACTTCTTTAATTTTGCAAATGAGGACAGTGAAACTCAGAGAGGTTTGTGAACTTGCTCAAGGTCACACAGCTGAGCCTGGTCTGGGACTAAGCCAAGACACCTCACAGCTCAGACCAGGCCAGACCCAAGTGAAAGAAAACATCATGGTTCTTGACTAAGTAAGTTTATTTGCACCCCAAACATTCTTTTTCCAAGATTTAGTGAGCTCAGAACAGAACCCCAGGGTTCTAAAGAGAGATAAAATCATCACATGCCTGTTTTGTGGGGGAAAGTTGACTAAAGTCGAAACAGCTAAACTTGATCTTAGGGGAAATGTTCAGCCATCTGCAAATGGAGGCAGGGATGCAAAAAAGCCCAAATGAAAATGCTGGTCTTGTCTTCAGACAATTGACTGTGACCATCAAACACTACCTATAAATTCTACAGTGCTAATTTCTCTCCCAGTGGGATTTTATATTCTATGATAAATTGCATCAGCTATGCAATTACTCTGGACCATAGAATGTGTATACAGAATCAGCTTGCTGAGCTCTTGTGTCTTAAAATGGCAATTATATCTCTGGACATATCTCCCAGCCCTGAAGCTCTGGACTACCACCTAGAAAGATACCATCACTTATCCTGTCTGAAAAGCTTGGAGATTGAAGGAAAAATTTAATTCTTGAGAAGCTCAGCAAAGTTGGGTTCACTGAGTTGACCCCTCCGGTTTTTGCAAAGCCTCGGAGCATTGTGTTCAACAAACCAGTGGCTTTAAGATGATATTTGGGAAAGGGACTCAGCTCACAGTGCAACTTGGTAAGTGGAGAAAGCACTGAACCCTCTTCTTGAAAACAGTATGAGACCCTTTTACAGCAGTTTATGGGTATGTGACTTCTTGGCCCATCTCTGCTCATATGCAAATTCTGCCTGGCTAAATGATACCCTCTCCATATCCTCTGAGATGGTCCAGTCATGAAGGTGCACCCATGCAGCTAAATACAGCTTTTGCTAAATTCTCACAAAATCACTTACCCTTCTCATCAAACTGCTGGGTAGTTCTTCTGTTACCCTCGTAGCCCTGCTGGTTGACCAATTAGAGGAAGAGAAGTACTCAAGGACTTGGAGATTTTTAGGGCATTGTGAAAAGAGGATCACTGCCAGTGTGGTTGGCTTCTGGGGAGGAAAATCACGATGATTTTTAATTGCTTACTATGTGCTAGGCAATGGGCTGCATGTTTTCTATCCATTATCACAGCAAATCCTTATACCGGCTATGTGGGTTAAGTTTTATTAATATCATCATTTTATAGAAGAGAACTTTTTTCATTTTTATATTTTAATATTCTTTTGGAAGCTCAGAGAGAGGTTGAACAACTTGTTCAAATTGATTGAGTGAGATAGAGGACCTAGAATTTAATTCTTGGAACTCAGATTCCAGAGCTTAGTGTTTACTAGTGAGGGAGTGGATTATGTTTGAGGGGAAATCACTGATGCTTTCATCTCTAAAGTTGCTAAAAACAATCCCTAGAGAATTGTGCTCTCAGCTAAGCAAGCCAGGGATTGAGCAGCAGGGCCAGTGCAACCCACATACAGATCCTAGTCCTTATAACAACTTCACCGTGCAGCCTCATTCTCCCCACTTTTCTCCCCTCTTTACAGACAGGGAAAGTGGGGTACAGCAGGTTACGGAACTTGCCCTTGGTTCCAAACCCAAGGCTCCCTGACCCCAAAGCTGAGCTATTTCAAATTCATTGCAACTGCTAACCAGCTAG